CAGCACCGCTTCTTCTCCTGCTGCGCGTGCTTCAACGTGCGACATTTGCTCTGTGGAACCACAGGACGCAGAACTCGCTTCTCCTTCCTCTCCAAACCTCATCCGCACAAAGAATGAGGGTCGATGCGTCGCTCTTGTGGCATGCCCGACCTCATTCACATAAAGAATGAGAGTCATCTTGGCATGGACGGGACAAGAGGCGACGGTTCACGGGGGCCCCTCGGGCCGGCGCCGTGCTGCCTGGACGGGAATCCTCCTCAGGAGTATCCAGGGATGAGCAGAAACAGGTCCATCCTGTCCATCAGGATGGGTCTTTCCAGATAAGAAGCTTTGCAGCATCTGAGCAAGTGAGGAGCAGGTCCCAGATCAGCGCTCGGGGAGGCTGATCTCAGGAACCCAGTCGTTCAGACGCCTGCTCTCCTCACAGAACAGGTGCAGCTTCTCCAGAGCAGGGTCCTCCCAAGACCCGTCAGCCGGGTTCTGATCAAACAGGAAGAGGAAAGTAGATTTAGTCGCACGTTTCTTTTCAGAAAGCACGAAAAAACAATCAGCCTCTTGAAATTCTTCACAGTGCTGCTACTGAGCTCTACATACCGTGATGAGGACGCAGTGCGCATCTTCAAACTGTTCCGCTTTGTCCCCAACAATCTCCACCAGACGCTGCATGTCGCTCACTCTGACGATGCTGATGTCGTTGTCGAAGCAGAAGGACTGGATGAGGGTGAAGTGGATCTGGAGGGCGATATCACACTCAAACTCCTCATCCATGGCCAGGACGCAGAAAGACACACTGTCCGGGTCTCTGTAGGCAAACAAAAATCATCCTGTTAAACGCTGCTGTTCAGTGTTTATTAACTCTAATGTTAAGAGAAGATGCTAAGGTCACATGAAGTTTACTTACTCAGTCATAATTTTTGCGCTCTCATAGACTCCAACAGTGAGTCGCTCCTCGCTCTGAGCACACAGCAGAGCTTCTTTCAGAGATTTTCCAGGAGACTGCATGGTTAGTTTGTATCTCACAGTTCTGCTGAAGCAGTGTCAGAAAGTCCAGAAAAGGCTGTTTGTGCTGCTTCCAGGAGATTGCCAACATTTATACTGCAGACCCGGCACGTGCTGACTCTCTTATTGGCTGATTGCTGCACAATGGTAACAAGAGGCCAGCAGCCCCCACCCCACCCTCAGGCACGCGTGCCCATAGAAAAGTCTTAGAAAGTTGGGGGCAGCTTCATTTGAAAGGATCAAATGTAGAAAGCCTGACCTTTAAGTGCTTGTTTCAGCTTACAAGAATAATGAAACCACACAGCAAGACCAGACTGCTATTGTGAAAGTCCTCAAAGTTTTGCAAGATTAAGAAGTGACTTATAAAGCCACTGAAATGCTTAAACGATGAAGCCAAAGGATATTTAAATCTAAAGTATTTCTCAATGCAACTGCACGCTTTCCAAATCATAATATTGTGCTTTAGGGGGGCTTGTTTTAATGCACCCAGTCATTTGCATTCATTTGCATGGAGTTAAATTTACCGGTGTTTGTGGCATCTCACCGAACATCAACAAAGTGTTTGTCAGGTTCATTTCAGACTTTTCAAATCTATCTGTTTCAAACTTGCTCTTTCTTGTGCAATCAGCTAGTTTTAATAAGACTTGGAGTGATCTTCGATTACATCAAGAGTAACAGAGCATTAGTAGGATGTAACTTTGGTCAAAACTCCTGCATTCTTGCATTCTTGAGGTTCTCCATGTAACTGTTGCTGTTTTGTGCGAATTGATGTCTGCCTGGATCAGTTCAATAAAAAGCTCCAGTGAAAACACTAAGAAGTCTACATCCTTTTGATCCAGTTATGTCATCCATATAATTTCATATTTGCCATTTAAAATGTATTACTCCATTCATCCACGGAGTTTGGGCTCTGGATAAAGCTTTCCTGCAAGGTTAGAATCCTAACACCAATGTCTTTGGACTGTCTGCATTCATTCATGTCAAAGTTAACTTCAGATCAGATCTAAGCAAGCTTATAAAGATTATTAAAATGAGCTGAAATCACAGAGAAAGACTTGCTGTTTTAGTTTAACCTTTTGTGGAAATGAATGGGTGGCAGTGGCTGATTGGTTTGGTCTGATCCATCTAAAGATGGATTTTTAAAATCTGAAGACAGAGCATTAGATGTTGAACTGGTTTGTTTTCAAATGATGACATTATATTTTTCTGTATAAATAAAAGTTTGATTTAATAAGCTAGTCAGATAAAGTCTTGTGTACACAAATGCTTCAGTAAATCTATTCAAGACTTGTAAGATATTTTCATGCTTTCACCACTTTTTGAAGTTTCTTAAAAGCTAAATATTTTATTCCTAACTGAAAACGCAGCTGGTGTAAAAATGCAAAGATATAAACATTTATGAAATATGCACAATGTATTTTTGTAAATAGGCGAGAAATGTCCAAATTGTTACTAATGCTGTGGTCAGAACAGTTAAAACACTATTGGAATACCGTTGGACAGGGCCATTTAAGACGTCGTAGAATTTTTTCTGGAAGAATAAGCAGAAACGTTCTTAAAAACAGCATCAATGCAGGGTATTCACCAATGTTTGATGTCAAAATAATCAGATCTATCCACCCTTCCAACTGTAATGACTGTCAGGCAGACTTTTAGACGTCGTGACCAGCTTCACAGCATGAACTGTTTGTTGTAGATTAAGAAATGGCACGGGCCGCTGCTTTGCATGCGTAAAGACTGGCGCGTGGCATCTGGAGATGCCTGCGTGCTTTATCTCTCTACTCTGCATCACTCTCCATAGTAACCGGCAGATGCCATCTGTCCCAGGGGGAAGGTAAAGTGAGGTTGAACAAAAGAAGTCACGCAGCACCTGCTGGGCGTGATAGACAAATGTTCTACTCCTGCAAAGATTATTTTTGTAAGTTGTGTTTAAAAAACGCAGAAATGTAGACAGACTGCGTGGATCTACGCTAAATATGATTGTTATGTAATGTGTGTCATCTCTGCAAACATTAAAAACACATTTCTGCAAACCTCTGAATTATCTGCCACCTTTGGACATTTCCCTTTATAACGCAGAGGGTGGGCTCTGTTGAGTCGCCGCAGGTCACCAGTAAAGAGCTTTGAACACCAACACCTGTCGCGCACTGCCGGAGAGTCCACCATCTGGCAGATGTGCTTCACCAACAATGGGTCGGTATCGATTTGCAGGCGCCTGGCCCGTGGTGATACGAGCTTATCCTTCCTAAAACTAGATGTGTGTTTTATTTTGTATCAGCTAGATCCAAATCAAACTTTAGGCCAGATGACGCGCAGATGCGGACTGAAGTGAAAACAAATAAATGACCTTGTTTGGAGCAATAATGCAAAGATAAGCATTTTGTTGTTAAACGAAACACTTGGGGCATTCTCGTCTGATTACAGCTCAAACTGAGAGTGATTTTTATTTGCCTCTACTTGTTTGGGGAGACAGCCTTTTACATTTTGCAAGTTTAGACTGTGAAGTCTCATCTTTGGTATTCTAACTTAATCAAAACTCAGACAACAGACTTGCGAATGTTGAGACATGTCGACAAAAGACAAAAAAAAAAGCCCTGGGGTCTAAGATGACCTAGGTTTAGGAGAAAGAGAAGGGGGCTTGGAGAAGGGGGGCTTGGAGGAGGGGGTCCCCTCATAGCGACAGTTCTCCATCTGCCACTGTGCCTTCCACAGAACAATAGTGCTGAATCAATCACCACCGACCTGTGTCTGCACCTCCAACCCCCTGCGCAATTTACGCAGCAATGGCAGCAGGTCTGACCTGATGCAAGATGTGTTTTGGATTATTATGTAGATGAAATGGCACCAAATAAGAGAAGAGAAGAGAAGAGAAGAGAAGAGAAGAGAAGAGAAGAGAAGAGAAGAGAAGAGAAACGGCACTAGAAGTGAACCAAATGAGGCAGGATCGTGTGAAAAGAAGTGAAAAGAAGTTGTGGATAATAATAAAACCAGACAAAGGTCAGGTTAGTTGAACTGGATACTAAATATTACCATATAATGACAATATGTTACATTGAAACGCGTCGAGCAGGTGAAATGGAGTCCTGCGTAAAAGTTAAATCGCAAATGAAAGCATTTAGTGGAACTATGGGCCAAATTCCAAGTAAAATAACTTTTAAGGCTATTTCTGCGTAACTCGCGTGGCTCCTGAACTCCCCAGAGTAAATAAATAAAACCCGAGGAAGGAAGGATTTGGGGGCCAGCTGATGGCCACGTGGTTCGCGTGGGCCAGCACTGCAGATTGTGCAGCACGCACTGCGTTCTGGCACGCGCTGATGATTTGCATTTGTATAGAAGATCGTGACAATAGAGGAGCTTCTGTGCTTACAATGGGGCAGTTTTATGGCCAGCCTCTACTCCACAGATGGCATCATCCACCTGCCCTTTCTCTGCTGCTGAGAGGGGGGAGGGGAGCTTCACACTTTCGCCATTCTGCTACTTAGATTCTATCAGAAAAGTATAAAATGAAGGAAACGGCATTCGAAGTTTGTTTGGAGTTCAAAAAATGTTTTAGTAAAGTTCACAAAGAAGTTTGTGGGGCTAAAAGTGTCCATAAGTAACATTTGCAAAGATTTCCGAGTAGCTATATGCGCATTTTACTTCAGTTTGTAGTTTATTATGAGTGCATGTAAAAAGACAGGTGCACGATGTGTCACTGCAACTTAAATCATATGCTGTGTTTTGAGTGTGTTGCACCAAAGTGCTGCAGAGTAATCAAACGCTTTCTGTAATATAATTAAGCAATTTTTTGCTTGCAGGGCAAGCTGCTGTGTGCGTGCAGCCGGGGGCGTGAGTGGCTCGATGACCCCCATCAATCTGCCACGAGCCGGAGTGTGACAATAGCATTATCATACCAATACACCATTCAGCTTTAGCCAATCAGGGCACAGAGCTTTCACTGCGCCGCACGAGCTGCAGGGTATAAAAGAGGGTGACTGCGGCTGTGAAAGCGCTCTGCTCTCTCTGCGGATTTACTCTTCAGACTTTCTCGAGCTTTTCCACTGCGGAATATCCTCACAGCCTTCATCATGACTTTTGAGGAGGTCCTGATCCAGAAACCCACCGAGCGTGCTCAGTGCGCCGGCACTGCCCTCGAGGAGGTCCTGGTGACCGCCAAAGACAACGACTCCCTCACCGTTGGTGTCTACGAGTGCGCAAAAGTTATGAACCTGTAAGTATGAGACTGCTGGAAAGATAAAGTTTACTACGTGTAAACTCATTTAAACGCTGATTTATTCAGTTGTGGGTAGAATCTCATGGATTTTGTTCTTTAATGTCCCCACAGAGACCCGGACAGTGTGTCTTTCTGCGTCCTGGCCATGGATGAGGAGTTTGAGTGTGATATCGCCCTCCAGATCCACTTCACCCTCATCCAGTCCTTCTGCTTCGACAACGACATCAGCATCGTCAGAGTGAGCGACATGCAGCGTCTGGTGGAGATTGTTGGGGACAAGGTGGAACAGTTTGAAGATGCGCACTGCGTCCTCATCACGGTATGTAGAGCTCAGTAGCAGCACTGTGAAGAATTTCAAGGCTGATTGTTTTTTTTGTGCTTTCTGAAAAGAAACGTGCGACTAAATCTACTTTCCTCTTCCTGTTTGATCAGAACCCGGCTGACGGGTCTTGGGAGGACCCTGCTCTGGAGAAGCTGCACCTGTTCTGTGAGGAGAGCAGGCGTCTGAACGACTGGGTTCCTGAGATCAGCCTCCCCGAGCGCTGATCTGGGACCTGCTCCTCACTTGCTCAGATGCTGCAAAGCTTCTTATCTGGAAATACCCATCCTGATGGACAGGATGGACCTGTTTCTGCTCATCCCTGGATACTCCTGAGGAGGATTCCCGTCCAGGCAGCACGGCGCCGGCCCGAGGGGCCCCCGTGAACCGTCGCCTCTTGTCCCGTCCATGCCAAGATGACTCTCATTCTTTATGTGAATGAGGTCGGGCATGCCACAAGATCGACGCATCGACCCTCATTCTTTGTGCGGATGAGGTTTGGAGAGGAAGGAGAAGCGAGTTCTGCGTCCTGTGGTTCCACAGAGCAAATGTCGCACGTTGAAGCACGCGCAGCAGGAGAAGAAGCGGTGCTGAGAGAGAGGCCTTCTTAGAAAGAGACTTTTTAAGGATGTCCTCTTTGCTGAGCAACATGACATCAGTTGCAGTCAGCGGAAATGTTTCCCACTTTCCAGAATTGTCTTAATTCTCTAAAGGTTTCACTTTAGAAATTTAATAATGACAAAATATTCTAAGACATATATAGAAAACAACAAAATGTCTATATTCTAAAGGTTTCACTTTAGAAAATGGCTCAATTAACTTAACGTCATGAGAATTTGTTAGATTATCCTATAAATATTTTACTATGTAGCCTGTAGTGAAAACAAATATTTAAAGAAAATAAAATTTGACTTAATGTGTTTGATCTTTTTGAGGCAATGCTGGAAACTAACTTGGTGTTAACTTATCAGCTGTTTCAAACATTATTGGAAGCTGTAAGTGGAAAATACTCAATAAAACTTGAAAGATGAATTTTGCCTTGTGTTTTCACTTGCAGTTGCAAAACTCTGTTTTTTGTGCTTGTTCGGGGTGTTTAGAGGGAGGAGGGCTGAAACTAACACAAGCTTTAAACTCCCTTTGGGTGGAGAGACCGATACAGCCTGACATCTGAGGGAGGAGGGGGCAAACACATTCAGGCCCTCCTCCTCCAGACTTCATCTGCATATGTATGGCGCAGAGCACAATAGCGGGGCTCCCGGCCTGTCAGCTCCAGCGGTCCGAACAGAGTGCCTATTGTTTAGCCCGCAGATGTCTTCCCTGGCCACGCCGCGCCATCTGCTGCTTCCTGCAGGTTGGGGTCGGGCAGGGCAGGGCTGGGAGGAGTCGGAGGGGTTAGTCAGTACAGTGCTGCAGGGGGGGCTGAGTGAGGTCTGGCTGGTTTGGGCCGGTTTTGGGGAGAAGAGAGGGTGGGGGTCCTGACTATCATATGGTATCCTGCCAGCTGCTGTCGGGACTATTATTTACTGGCAGGCACTTGGTGAAACTTTGGTAAACACAGCACAAAGACAGGAGATCAGCTGTGTTTGGGTGCAGCAGCAGAACCACCTGCTCTGCCTTTAAAATGAAATCTGCATCAGGCACCGCTCCTTACTTTAGTTACACTTTCGTGAACAGGGTATAAGCTTGTCTCTCATTTAATGTATGGAGCAGTGCAATAGAGTCCCATTCTCTCTCTCTTTTTACAGCTTTTATATTGTCTGTTGGGCTTTGGGAATTTAGAAAAAAACATATTTTATGTGTTTAAATATTGCTAAGAGTAATAATTAATGAATGAAAACACACATTCCTTCATTGATTACTACCTTTGTTTAATTTCATTAGGCACTTCCATGTTTATTTAACATTAGGGTATTCCAAACAGTGCAGAAGGTGACTGGGGCATTGCTGCAGGTTGACACCTGAGTTGCATTAGGAGGAGAGAAACAAATTTATCAAAAGCTAAAAACTGTAAAAGCTACAAGTCATTTAAAAATGTTCCTGTTTGTTGCAAGTTGGTATAAAATAAGTCTGTGCAAAAGCAGTGCTTTATTATGAAAGCACACATAACTTGGAGGTGTGCCTGAGGCCCCTGTAGGCCCGGAGCCCCTCCCTCTTGGGGTCTCTCACCATCCCTCGGACTACTGGGGGAGAGTCGCAGCCCTTCTTCTTCTGGGCCTGGTGAAGCAGGATGCGGTAGACCCCGGTGACAGGACTCCGGCTGTCTTTCAGTGGATTGTTTTGCAGGTGCTCTGCGGTAAAGCCAAGCTTCTCCAGCGAGCTTCTGACCTCCTCCACTTCCTCTTCCAGGCTGGTGTTCTCCGAGACCATCAGGCTCTGCAGGGTGGTCATTGAGTCGGAAGGGAGAAACGACCAGGGGAACTCCACAGGTAAGAGCCAATCACAACCCAGCATCTGGTCGATAGCATATCGTTCGCTGGGGACCAGCTTCAAGATGCCTTTTATGAGCCTCTGACAGGGGCCTGGCACCCAGGGGGGGATGGCGTAATTGCCTTCAATGACGCAGCGCCGCAGCTTGCCCATGGTTTCGGCACGGAACGGCATGGTGCTGGTCACCATGAAGAAAAGCAGGACTCCCATTGCCCAAACATCTACCGGAGGCCCCAGGTAGGACTCATCCCTGAAGAGCTCTGGGGCTGCGTAGGGCGGCGAGCCACAGAAGGTGTCCAGGGCATTGTTGCAGTTTGATATCTGCGTGCTGAATCCAAAGTCAGCCACCTTCACGCAGCCGTCGATGGTGAACAGGACATTCTCTGCTTTCAGGTCCCGGTGGATGATGTTGATGCTGTGCTGCAGAGCAAAACATAAAGAGAAGGTTGGAATTTCAAACTGTAAAGTAAATGTGAGGTTAGACTTTCACTATTAAAGTCTCATCTGTTAAAAGGCTTTTGGGAATTTAGATGTACAGCTGGATGGATGTAATGAATTATAATTTTAATGGTGACCAGTAAAGTGACCGCACAACTTTAACATTGTTTTGGAACACAAAAAAGTGCTCTGAGCAGACCTGCACCTAAGCTGCCCAGGTTACAGCTAAACCCACAATCACCATGAAAAAATCTAAAGTGAAAATTAAAATATTCACTCCAATGGTTTAGATAATTGGGTCAGCACAAAGGCTTGTTTATAATCATGTTTTTGCATGTTTTTGATGTATGTCTCCATTCTCCATTCCAAGATTTCATTTAACGGACCCTTTTTTCCATTCTTCTAATGCAACCTGACTATAAGAGTTGAGTGTGAGTCAATAAAATAATTGTATATGATAAGAACCCTTTTATGAATAAATAGGAGATATATATTGGATCTTCATCAGGTCTTCATCAGGATTTTCCTGTAGAGAAAAAATTTTGGGACTTGAAAAGAGGTTTTATTCTTTCCCTAAAAGAAAATCACCAAGACTGAAATAAAAATATTAAGCAGGATTTTATTTACTGAAGCATAAAGTGCATCGAGTATTTCATGGCCATAAATAACAGTACATTTCCTCATGTAAGGTAGCACAGACTTGATGCCACTGTCATGATCCTGGATATTTGACCCAGTGCTTCTGGCTTTAGACTCTTTGTTGTTGTTCTTTCAGTTTTTTGCGTTCTTTACAGTTATCCCCCAGATGGTTTCCAGTTTCCTGGCAATGTCAGATGTTCCTTTGTTTGGTTACTTCCTGTTTTATTTTGCTAGTCTCTTGTCTCCTGTGTGTTTAGTTTTGATTCCTCTTTATGTCATTAGTTTGATTCTGTCCACCTCTCTTTATTTTTCCAGCCGTGTTCTTTATCTATAATTACCCACCTCATGTGTGTATTTAAGCCCTGACTTTGTCATCAGGTCTTTGTTGTGTCATCCTGGTTTTTCCCTGGTGAATGTCCTGACTTTTACCCTTTGTTAGTGTGCTGATGTATGTAAAAACATCTTACAATACATACATGTCGTGAGGGGTTATGTTTTATTAAAATACCTAATATAATAAATGCATAATGATAAACTAAAATGAACCGTGAAGCTGATGAAAATTAACCAAAACAAGCAAACCCACACTAGAAATTTACCAAATAAAAGAAAAGATAAAATTTCAAATAATTTTTTAAAATAAAATGGTGTATTGGTATAAAGTAAAATTATAACAGCTCTGTGTCAGACATGGTGGGATTAACTGTTAGCTGATCTTTGACCTTCCAGCTTCTCAGTAAAAATCCAGATTGTGTTCCTGTGTGAACAGGGCAGGTTATAATCTGGCTTATTCACAGCGAGCCAGCGTCTGTCATGTGTCCTGCCTCCTGCCTGCTCTACCCAGGCAGCTCCCTCACCTTCAAACCAAACAGAGGACTGCCAGCAGCCATGACACATCTGAAACAGATGACATCTTGTGTGTGTCTCACATGTGAGAAGGTGTGACTTCACTGAGCACATAACTAAACTGCATGATGGGAAACACAAGCAGCATCTTGCTCTGAAAGCTTTCAACATCACTGACCATATGTTTGATGGCAGAGAGGATCTGGGCGAAGGTGATCTTGCTGGCATTGTCTGACAGTTTTCCCTCGCTGCATATCCTGCTGTGGAGGTCTCCTCCTCCTGCGTACTCCAGCACCAGGTGGAGGCGTCTCGGCGTTTCCACGACCTCGTACAAACGGATCACATTTGGGTGGTGCAGGGCCTCCATGCTGCTGATCTCCCTGGAGAGAAGACGCTGGGCTTCAGCATCCAGCCTCGTCCTATCCAGGATCTTCAGAGCCACTTTGTCTGTGAAAGATTGGACAGAATGATCGTGTCATGGTAACATAACTCCAGAGAAGGTGTCCATGACATCAGAGGCTGAAAGTCGAACAGAAACTGAAAGCTTACACAGAAACCGGAGTACTTTTGCATTACATGGAGATACATGGAGAGAGTAGTTCAATGAATCTGAAAAAAAAAAGTATTTAACTAAAGAAGTGACTGTGAGCAGAATTCTTTTATTAAATTTACAACATATAAAAAGATGGTGTTAATTATTAAGTAATGATCAAAAAGTTAATAAAGGGTTAGCTTGCTGAAGGTAAACCTGAAATCCCAATGTTTGAAATTGTTTAGCTTAAAGCAGGACAAGATGAAAAAGGACTGGCATCACCAGAACAGCATGTTTATATTATATAATATATAATCAACTGCAGTTGATTGGTCCTCTTAATTAATTTATCCAGATGAACCACCAGATATCAGCTGCTTTTCAGACTTGACTCCTTGGAATAGAAAAAGTTTAACCAGGTGCATAGTGGAAGGCAACCTGTCTTTGAACATTTGCAGACCAACACAGATGGCAATCAGTCTCAGACAGATTGGCAACTGTTTGCAAATAACTGCCATCTAATTTATAAAAAAAATTGCTAACATGTTTCAACCAATATGAGTCTGTCTTAGGCAATAAGTGCAACTCAGCTGCGACATGTCTCTTTGCAATAGCAGACTTTTCTTAACTGTTTGTCAGCTGGTTGTATTCTGGTTATATTCCTATGTAAAAGCAGGTCTTTCCAAGCACTTATGCCATTTAGCAGTTTAAATATCTGAATTTCTGTTTCAAATCTACGAGAGTCTGGCTAGAATCAAAATAATTCATGTGAATTTCTGTGGATGAAGACGGCAACAGATTTGCAATCGTCACAGTTAAATGTTGTATTATCACAAACAAAATTACATGTAATTGTCAGTTTGACCCCATTCAATTCCCAATCGACAGGGGACTGATTGTTTTATTCCCATTGCCCTTCCTTCTTATTGCTTCCCATAGCAAGTTGCTTTGAAAATGGCAACTAACTGTGAGTGGTCACAGACCTGGCAATTTGAAAGGCAACAATTTTGCAGTAACCAGTTTTCTCTAGCAGTTCTTGTGGTTCTAGTGGTACAACCAGCATTAGCAGTTTTAAGTCATTGGATTTGTGCTTAAATGTTGAAGGTATTTATAATGATACAATCTGTTTGTGCTTTGCAAATGTGAAAATCTCCTCAGTTTAACTTTGCTGTATGTTGAATATGTTTGTGGTGGACTGTTTTGCAACACATTCAAAGAGAAGCTATCTCAAGCTATGTGAATAATTGGATCTTTTCAGGTCAGATTTCTGCCACCTGTCCTGAAACGACTCAACACATCAGGTTTGGAATCAGGTTGCAGCTGTTCTGCTGCTGTGCATTGTTCTAAGTATTTCAGTAATTTCTCCTTTTAACTGAGCAACTAATCAGCATCTGGTGCATTGGAAGCTTTATAGATGAGTTTTAAATTTGGAAACTGTGTTGCATGAAAATGCTCATTATTGCGTGAGCTGTGTTTGGTTCTCAGTTTCAGGCCCATCAAACATCAGATGTGTGTAGTCTTTAAAAAAGGTTTTCAAGTGTTGTCAACAAAGGGCTGCAACCAGTTTAAACCTTGCATATCCACACTCTATTCAAGCTCTGCTTTGAGAGGGTTGAATCTGAGACAGAGGCAAAGGAAGCAAAGGTAAAATATAAGTGAAGATTATCTTGAAGATTCAGAATATCCATCTACCTCTCGTCAGTGCGTGGAAAGCCAGTTTGACCCTGGAGAAGGTCCCGTAGCCGATCTCCCCGCGGACCATATAGAATCCAATTCTGCGCCCTATGATCAGCTCCTTGATGGTCTGCTCGTCCTTGCACATATCTCTGGTGAGCTTCTCCAGGGGAGTGAGGTTGTCTGTCTCCTCATCCTCAGGCCCAGCATCAGAGCTGTCCGTCAGGCTGTAGAGGCTGTGGTGGAGCCTGGCGCTCACCACCTGGTACTGGCCTCCAGGCATTTCTGCAGCAGGCTGAAGATAATGGTGGAGTCATTAACAGTCCATCTTATGTAAGTTACAGTACAGAGGAGCATATAGAAGCAAACTAGAGGGACAAAGGTGTTGTTTTTTACTTGATTCCTGATATTCTCTATAAATTTCCCCAAAAGAACCACTATTAAGTTTCGACACTTATTTCACTGAAACCAAATCGCTCAAGTAAAACATTAATTAAATCTGCAAAGTATACATGTTTTATACTGTTTTAGAAGCCTAGTAGTGAAATGAGAAATTTTCTTACCAAGTTTCTGCATCAAACCATGGCCGCAGAGCCCCTTGCAAATGATATTAAAAAAGGGGGTTATTTTTTCCGTACAGAACCCTAAAAAATGTCTTCAGAGCAGCGTTGTCATGGCCTCGCTCTCTTCTCAGTCCTCTAAATCAGATGACTACACACTCATGGCAAATCACATGCAAGGCAGCGTGGTAGGGGGAGCGTCTCTACGATTAGTAAAGTGTTCAGTCAGTGTGGGCATCTCTGGCCACACCCCTCACCTTTGCTTATCTTCAGCCTCTTTTCATGTCCAAGAAACAAAAGCTTAAGATGATGTCATGACTTCTAATCCTGCTTTAATCTGAGTCTGCCCCAGTCCTTTCATACAGCTAACATCAATTCAAACATCAAAAAAGGAGCCATAAAACAGATATGCACAAATAAGTTGTTTTTAGAGTTTATATGATCAGAATGCGGATTTCACGTCTAACATAATACACCTGTGCAACTGACATCCATGTGCTATCTAGGTAAAGTTGATCTCTTGGCTTTTGTGAAGATGAAATGTTATGCAACGGCATTAGCAAATGTTCCCATAGAGATTAGCTCTCTGTCCCCTTTAGATGCTGGCAGAACAGCACAGATAACGAGATTAGAAAGGTCAACGCCTCAGCAGGCATGAGCATCTTCATTCAGGTGTGTCATCCCTGTGTAGAGTAGTGGAAGGACATTAATCAGCAGACAGCAGTCAAACACCATGCAAATGTACAAAATCATAATTATTTTACACACTGCTCAAAACAAAACAAACAAAAAACACTTTGCCAAAAAAAAAAAATATATGCTGGATATTTATACTGATATGTACTGGGTAACATGTTAGGAATAAAAGGATAAATAATCAGCCTGCAGAAGGCTGAATTCAAAAACACCCTGGAAGTCAAAGTGAAACTGATGCAGCAGGCGAGTGGATATATGAACGTGTGAAGTTTTATTTTTACTGTGCAAAAGATGGAAACGTGACAGTAAGGGCTAAAGCTAACATAAAAGCAAGTAGCAAATAATCTCCATCCAACCAGCCAAAGCTTGATTTCCAGCAGTTAATCGAAGCAGTGGTGAGCAGACAGGCTTGTAGCACTGTAGCCTACCTGTAACTGTTTCCACGTGTAAACCGCTGTGAAGTGCTCTTACAGCTCATTTTCACCAACGTTGTTGTTGGCTTTGTGTTACTACTTAATGCTTTCTTTTTTAAAGAAGCTGACAATATGTCACACTGACAACACCCATGCTGTTCACACAATGATACAGGAAGTATAAATTGCTGTATCATCTATTTTATTCTAAACAGAGCTGTAATTTATAAAAGAAAAAGAAGAAAAGATTTGAAACAGAGGAGCTGTGCCCGATGTTTCACTGGATCAACTGAAGTTTTTTTAATACACATTTTCTTATACAGTCTATGATACACACAAAACATTAGCCTATGGCAAGACACTCTGCTAGTTGAAGACTTCTGTCAATTAATAATGCTCAGAACAATAAACCACAGAGAAAATGCATCTATATGAACACAAAGAGAACTCAGTGTGAATTACAAGAACCTTGAAAAAAGGGGGATAAGTAGTATTAATGATTTCTTTGAATGAAAACAGATTTACATCCTTGAATCAGACTGCCCTTTCAGCCAATTCATTCACAATCGCACTACTCCATCTACACTTCCTCTCTCCCTCTATCCTTCCCTGCAGGTGTCTAATTGGATTAAATCCTTAGACAGGAATACAGCATGTGTTTGTACTTTCTTTACACTGGTCACCTGCAAGAAGAGCACTGAATTTGCAATTTGCAGTCAAATCTAGTCACACTGCACAAGCACCAAGTAAATGTCCTGTTAAATATGTGAGATTGGAAATTTCAGAATGCTCTATGGGAATCATGCACGTCCACTGGCAGGTCAGCAGCTCGTTAGCCTCTAAACAAATTAAATCTTTCTTCTCTTTGGACGGCTGTCCAGGATGCTGCTGGCACGCTGATTCTCTTCCAGTTCTTTGATTCTCTGACGCAGGGCAAAAATCTCTTTGTTCTTTTCCTCCTGGAAAAACTGCAGCTTCTGAGAAAAACATAAAAAGACATACAACACACTTCTGAAAACACAAAATCACTGCTGACCTATAAAACACTCCCTGTAAATACTAGCTTCTATTCTTCAGATTAATGCCAGGTAAATGAGTTTAAATGAAAAATCTAGTCTGCCATGTGCTTTGCACTGAGTGGCTGCTGAAGCTGATGGATATTTTCATTGCTGTTCATGATTTCATGCCTTTTGAAATTATTTTCTTATTCAATCATTTAAAGCCTAAAATGTAAGAAAACACATAACTGAACGGTTTCCTCCCCAAATGAAATAAAATTTCATATCATATCAAAATCATAATAATGAAAATTTTGGTTAGCAGTTTTCAACAAAACATACTCCGATTCATAAAGGTAATTTAAGTGAATTTGAATATTGGATGGTTATATCTAGTGTGCATTTTCTGTATTCAATCAAGGTAGGCAGAAGCGCATCTCTGAATGTAGATGGAGGACGGTGACACAAGGTGACACCGCTGCCATCCAAGAACAGGAACCTGTGGCTACAGTTCACAGGGACTCCCCAAAATTGAGCAATGGAAGATTGGAAAAATGCCTGGTGTGATGAGTATTGCTCATACCAAACTGGTATAGCTAATAAAGTGGACAGCTAGTGTTAACCTGAAGGAGGTGTTTGTGACAGTCAGCATCAAGATTAACTGTGGTGCAGTTCATTTATAGCAATGAACCTAAAGTTGCCATTTCACTTCTTGGAGTTTAATTTATGCTTCAAAAATGATCCAGCTGACACTTTCGGGGTAAAGACATGCCCATGTTAAAAGCTGAGTGGTCAAACAAGACTAGAAAAGCAACGTATACAGGCAGTCAGCCTACAATTTAAGTGGGAAATTATGTCTGTTAAAGCATTATAAAGGCTGATAAAGCTGACATAGCATAACGGGAAGTAGCCTGATGACTTAAAACGTGTAGACTAACAAGATAAGATTTCTAGTTAAGACTTAATGGACTTTGCTCTACTCTCAGTTGTAGTTTATATGAGAAGGATACATCAGTACATCAGTAACAGTTACACACATGGTGTTTACTCACCTGTGCTTTTGTAATATGGTAAATCACACCAAGACACTCAGTTACAGATTGACAACAGTTTAAACAAGGGGGTGTAACAGGTTCTGTGTGGGCTGCTTACCCTTTTAAAGACACTCTGAGGAAGGTTTGGGCCATGTTGCTGCTGCTGCTGCTGTTGGCTCCACTGAGCTGAACTCTGAACTCTGGCTAACTTTGCACCAAACTGCCAAAAACACACAGAGCAAAACAATGAGCTTGTAACTGAAACTAGACACTCAAAACCAAAGCAGAGTTTATTCGGATTTCAAAGATTTAGACTCCTGCTCCTGCCTGTGTTCTTAATATTATTCATTAAAATCACACACAATTTAAACCTGATTATTAAACATCATAAATATATTAAAAGCTATGACAGATATTTATGTAGATCTATGTTAATCAAATTAAGTATGATGGTTACAATTTCATGTTATTTTACCTCCATCTGTAACTTCAGTAGCTCATTCTGACTCTCCTTTTCCTGATCTTTTAGTCTCTTCTTCATGTCCTCTAGATCCAGATCCTTATTCTCCAGCAGCTTCTTACATTCAGCATCTTTAGCTTCCACTGAACAAAGCAAACCACAGGCAGATTTCTCTGATTTTGTCAGTAAAAAACTGAGGTAAAGTAAGGAAACTTCAACAGATCTCTTGTTAGCTGTCCGTGTTGTGCAATAGGACTCAAGGACCATAAATTATATAAATAATGTGTCAGTATTCCCTGAAACATTGCATAACATCACCACTCTCACTTATTCTGAGTCTTACAACCCCCTCATGCACTCAATGGAGTGTGCTCCCATTATGCATATAAGATCTCAAGGCTGTCAAATTGTGAGATAATTTGCTTGATGCTTTGTCTCACTCTGTCTACAGCCATAAAAAGCAATCAATCAACAAAACAAGTGCACGTGTTCACAAAAACATTTTTTAGAATCAACAAAACTAAAGATTTCCTGCAAATCTGAGCAAACTGTAAGTTGTTTGATGCCTTTAACAGTTTCTGCAGAGCTTCCTGATCAGAGTAGCAAGCATGTAGCTAAATAAGAGGGAGAAGCAGCCCTCTGCAGACTTTATTAAAGCTGCACTGAAATGTCTAAATGCACATCATAAAAAGATAAACTATGAAAGGATTTTGCAAGCTGACAATGCTTTTTTTGTGTTGGTGTTTCTGGCAATGCGATTTAGGTATCCCATTTATCAGACAGTGTTTGGAGCTCTTCCATCCTACTTGTTCTCATACATTTGTTGTAGCATGTTAGGGTGCAATGGGTTCATTCGAAATGAACCAGTGTCTCAGTGCACTGAGCACTCTGTGAGGCTTTACATTGACTAAAATACTCCCTGTGGGCATCCTCCGCCTCCCTGCCACACTGCTGTCTTAGATCCTCTAGCGCCCTCTTGTGTCTCCCTTCTTCTGCACTCATTTCTCTGACCAGCCGCTGAACTTCAGCCTTTCCAACCTGATAACAGCATACAAAGGCTGAAATTACTGCTGAAAAAAGTTTTAGCACAGGCTCCGACAGGCTCATACCCCTCAGAAGTTTTCACTTCTAAAGATTTCTTCTCAACATACTGAAACCGAGTTTGATTGACAGCTCTGTCACTTGCAGGCATATTTTTGTATTTAGATAACATTGACACACTTATCATGATTTATTATTATTATTATTATTAATCATTAATCATTAATCAATTATAATTAATCATCAAAGTTATAAATTTGGGTAAATCCAAGCATAGCTTCAAGAGTGCACTATGAAGCATGTGTGACCTGGCCAGGCTTTCTTTGCCTCTAACAACAGCATCAATAAACGCTGTTGTTGAAGGCAAAGAAAGCCCGTGGCTCCGAAGAGATGTAAAGAATATTTTAAAAGTTGTTGCAGCAAAATGAAACACTGGTGATCCAAATAATGCAGAAAGAAAACTCCTAATCTTGTACAATTTGATTATTATTATTATATTTTACCCCTCTGTGCACTCTCAGTGACAGCTTCACTTTACACCTCTTAAACTCTAATCATGATATTTTTAACATCATAGGCTACGCATTAAGAAGTAAAAAGTAATTTCATTATTAAATATTCTGTGACAAAATAGGCTGATCAGTTCTCTAACCTGTCTGCTATTAGCTACAACAGCACAAGACTTTACTGCAAACCTGAAGCATTATGTTTCACTAAATGGGAAATTTCTTTACACTACTTGGCTCTAAGAAAAGTAATTATTGAAACACTTGTACAAAAGCAACGTTTAAATCTGAAACAAACCCAAAGCCTCTGTGAAAACACATTTATGTGCGTTCTGCATCATCTGCCGAATGCTCTATTGCAAATTTCTGGCACCCTGCTGGATGCAGTTTGCATTGCTGTTCACGACAAAAAAGAAAAATTGATTCATGACTTTTAGATAACATGGTGCAATCCCAACGAATACAACACCGCCGCAAACGTCTGCTTAGCCAAACACAACAGATTGACAGCCAAACATGTTAACATCATATTGTAACATCTATACTGGATATAATCCAGGAAAAGGCACCCTTCCTGCCTCAAGGTGTCTTGCATAGAGGCAGCATCAACTACATCCAACAGCAAGACTGAACAAGACTGCCACATTACATGATCAAAAAAACCAAAGGAGAAAGTAAAATGTGCAGGTACAATTCTGTGTTTCTCACTTGACCAACTCTAGGAAAAGCTTTGTATCATTTCTATGATAGATGTTCATCAGTTTAACCCTCTCGAGGCAGGCATTGCCGATTTGCAACAGTTAAAAACTAACAACCTGATTACCCCACATACATATTTTATGAGGTTTTTTTTACTCAGAAGTACCACTGCAGGACTTGGTTGTGCATTAGCAACAAAAGGTTTAATTTGAGCCTGAGAGGGTTAAGTTCCTTCACTCATCATAAACAGCTGAACAGGTTCTCAGACGTGCTCAGTCCTGTATGCTGAGGTGCTCAGACGTCACTGATGTCGGTCTTCGTGTTTCTAGCACCACCAAACTTATATAAAGTACTGAAAGTACTGAGCCTAGACTACTTATGAAACACATGAGCACCACCACATAAACAAGATAAAGAAAGATTCGACCCAACAAGACATGATCTGCTTGTTAAATTTGTATTTTCAAAACTTTGAAAAGAAAAATCAAACACAGAGAGCATATTGGTGGTATGACCATCTGTGGCGAACAAAAAGTGTCAACTTACAATGGTCTTTAAACCAAACTCTGAACACAACCTGAAAACCTACTCTGGATATGTGTTCAGCATGTTATTATGGAGATTTAGCTAGGTAGAAACACTCTATGTACCTGATAAACCCTTTAGTTTTGCTTTGTAGCCTAACAGTTTAGGTCTAAGGAGCCAGAGTGATTACAGGAAACACCTGTTGCTTGCTCCTACTTCTGTTCGTACCTCTGCTGTTCTCTCATTCTGCTGTTTCAGATCTGCCATATCATTCTTGAGTCTCTCATTCTTCACTGAAACATGAAAAAGATTTTACGGAGTCATTTTCAGTTGATTATCACCCTATCAAAAATATAATTATTTAGTGCACATCGCAGCAAATTCCCCCACAAATCAGACCATGTAATGCTCAGAGAAACAGCAAACAACCCAGACAAGCCTTATTTTCACATTTCAAATGTTAAAGTTCGTGACATACAATCAGAAAAAGACTGAACGAGTATGGCTTGTTTGGAAGGGTTACCGGAACAACCCACATGATTTCTGGAACACTCGTTTTTGGACAGCCAAGACCAAAGTGAAGATGTCTGGCCATGATGCGCAGTGTCACATTTGGAGAGAACTAAACACAGCATCTCAATAGAAACACCTCATACCCACTTTAAGTACAGTGGTGGAGGGTTGATGATTTGGGCTTCCTCTCCAGCATACAAGACCAAATGTGCAGCCATCTCTGCAACAGCTAAAGTTTATCCAAAACTATTGAAATATTATTGTCTGATATTGAAACAAGGCAGTGATCCTAGAAGAAAACAATTACTTCAAGTTCTTGCTACTAAAACTTGTTCTACAAACTGCACAGGGTGCACTTAGTCTTTAACACAACATTTCTGCATTCTGGTTTAGTTCTTAAATAAATAACAACACAATATAATATGTCACATGTATATACCCGATTTTAAGACCTGCTAAGAACTATTATATTATTATGTCCTGATATGTAAAACTTTAGAGCTGACATAGGGCACCTTTTTTGCTGTATATATGTGTATGTGTGTTTGATATGTTATTAGAGATACCTCTGAGGTTGCACTGCTCCTGCAGAGTCTGCTGCAGTTTGTTCACTGTGAGAAGAAGGCTATCTTTTTCTGAAAGAGGTTCAGAAACAAAGTCTACTTTCATGCTCCAAATACATATATAAAACAGAAATTAATTTAATAATTTACAGAAAAAATCCCCAAATATTTAAAATGTTTTTCTTCTGTAAAGTGAATTGTTACCAAATCTGGCTTGTTATTAATATCTGCTAGATGGTATTTTTCTATGACATATGTGGAGTTACAATGCTGGATACTGATATGAAATGTGGCTAAAATGTCAAATAACGAGATCAACAAGTTATAACATCTCACTTCATAAAGAGGATGAACCGAGGGCCTTCACCAAGGTCAGTATAAGCTGAATAACGATTATTTTTATGTATGAATCATACAGCACTACTCCAGCAGGGCCCAATGAATGCAAAACCACCAGCAGAGGGAGATGTTATTAAACTGAATGATAGGTTTTGAGCTTTAACACTCACCTTCAATTAGGCTCTTCTCCTTGGTCTGGTAAAACTTCACCAGTCTATTAGCATCCTCCAACATGATCTCCAACATGCTGTTTCTGCCATTAACTTCAGTTATGTTCTGTTTAATAAAGATCCAGAGAAAATACTTTATTCCATAAAGACACATATGCACATATATAATAAAACACAAACAGTCTCAGGTTTATTATAAAGTAAAATCCACATTTATTACAAATGTATGATGTATGTTCATTAGGATTAAGTTTATTTACAGTCTAATCTATCTTTTACTTACTAGGTTTCCTTCTTATGCTTAAGTGACTAAGAGCAATAAAAAACAACACAAGAAAAAAAAGATAGCTGACATTAATAAAAACATTTGAAAGCCTTCCTGTAAAAGTTCATAGATAAACTCCCAGTCTAACAAAGAGGCAGAAAGTAAAAAAATGAGAAAGTAAATAGCAGATGAAGTTAGCCTGTTAGCAAGTTAGCTGGCTAATAGGGCAATGTAAATTACTTTACCTGTTCTAGTTGACAAAACTCCTCCAGAAATTTCTCAAGATTAACGCAGTTTAACTTTGTCATATTTTAAGCCCGAGAGCAAGTCAGTATAGTATTGTCTTTATTATCTTCCTCATAAGTGATCTTAACATGACGCTAACAAAGACCCCAGCTCGTTTGGGCATACAGCTAGCTTACTAGCAGTGAAGCGGTTTTTCTGCAGTGCTATGATGATTTAATATTTAGTAAAATAAATAAATAAAAACCTGCAGTTTCTATAAATTTCACATAAATTATTACCTTTAAGAGAAAAAAAAACTATATGGTGACAGTTGTTACCATGTTCTATTTTTTATTATTGCAAATAAAAATAAATATATTGTGACTTGTCCCCAATTTAGAATTTTTTTGATATTTTATGATTTTGACTTACTCAGAAGTAACCCAAAAATCAAGATACTTGTGGGTTTTTACCAATGGCCGTAGAGTCACTGGTTTTTACATAAATAACGCAGAAAAACAAAACACATTTTAGTTTATTAAGACACATTAAGTCAAAATCAGATTTTTTATTTCAATTATTTGACAATATTTTTAGATTATTGCAATAACTATACAAATTAACACTGTTCATATACCTTTAGCTTTTACATTGTATCAAATGCATATAAGTCAACCAGAAATAAAAAACAAAACAAAAAACATCAACAAAAGAATCAATGCACTATAAACACAAATACTCACTGAGCAAAATAATTTCAGTTCATATCGTTTTGGCTTTAGCTCTCAAAACTTTTCACAGTTTTTAAGAACACAATATGTGATAATATTAATATTAAACTAGCATCTTACATTGAGCTCCTGTTTATCCTGTCACACATAAATCATGCTTTATTATTCTTTTTTAGGAATCAATATGTTGATATACACTGAGCATTTTGAAAAGCACAGAACTGAATGCACTGAGTTTGCATTGAGGCAGAGTTGAACTGACAGATAAAAAAAAATGTCATTTAAAAAAAAATAAAAAAGAAGGTTATTTATTTGTTTCTTTTCAAACATTGTCTTTTCATATGTACAATATGCACAAGGACGTGGTGCCTTTAACATTAATACTGATTAAAATGTGAATCTGTAGCATAGCAGGTGTTGCTCGTTGTTAAAATATTGCAGGGAATTGTACACCTGCAATCCATTTTTGTCCTTGTTTGGCTTACAGCACCAAATGACAAAACATTAGCAAAGATTTAAACAAAGAGGACCACCAGGGATGAAAGGAAGTTTCATTTTTTTACTAAATCTTATAAATGCAAATAAAATAAATACATGTATACTGGATGGTGCACTTCATAAGCAATCAATATTTACTTTTGATTTTATTCAGGGGGTATTCTGACCCCTAGTGGTCAAAAACTGGTTAATACGGCTTTAACAAAGGTGTTTAGTTAAGTTGTTGCAGACCTGGTTTTCGACTGCAGCAGTTTTCGGCTCAAGCATTCCCTTTTATGCTTCCCTTTTCCACAATCAGAGTAAAACACATTTTTATTCAGTTCCTTTACAAAACTCTGCCAAAGGATGCAGTCAACATTCAACCTCCAGATTTTTAATTTGCACACTTCGACACTGAATTACGGTGTGATACTTCCCAGAAGGTTAGCGGTCAGGTAGCCGTCTGGTGTCGGCATATTCTTTGGAATTATCAGATGTGGGGCTGGAGCTGAATTTGGTGACAGTAAGAGACTGTTCTGTCTATCAACACCTTCGACCACAGTGTAGACAGGAGCAGGAATTGGTGGGGGCGAGGTGGTGTTTGATTCATTGGGAGGTGACGGAAATGTTTTACAGGGTTCAGTCAGGTCCCCTGTGGATAATTCTTGGCTTGTTTTTCCTGCATTGAGCTCTGAAGTGTAGTCTCTGTGATCTGCATTCATCACGAGGAGCTGAAACTCTTTCTTCTCTTTCTCTACCACAATTTCGTCCTCCTTCTCTTTACTAGGCATTTTCTCCCCCTCGGTCTGTTCCTCAGGTAAGAGCAACACCTTGCCCGATGACCTCACCTCACTCACCTGGGTGTACAAAGTGTCTCTGTCCGTGACAAATGAAGGAAGCTCCCCAGAGTTGCAGCTTTGGATGGGAGAGCTTGGCTCGGAGGTTGCTGCACATAATGTCTCCTGACTGAGGGCAAGATTTGGGACCAGAGGAAGGAAAGGTGATGGTTCTGGGTCGCATGGGAGATCTGGATCGCAGCAGCTTGCACGACCTGAATCGTCATCTCTGAAGACAAGTGATAGTGGGGAGCAGTTAGAAGTCAGGTGGTGGTTCATGAGACAGTCAGTGTCCAGTTCTGTCACTCTGTCGCTTTGCTCTTCAATGTCCAGATCGATGAATTCCATCCAGGGGTCGGAGTTGTAGAGCTCCGGCCTCAAATCAGGAGGACCACCCAGGATTGATGTCAATTCCCTAAGCTTCCCACTCTGTGAGAAAGAAAATATAACAATGCACTTAGAGGCCATCATTGCAATTTAAGTCTTGTTTTTAACCTGTAGACTGTACTCTAGTGTAGTGTCATTCAAATATATATATATATAGTTTTGTAATTAAGCTAATCAAGCTATTTTACTTTGGATAAGCACCTTGAGTAGTTCAGAGTCAATTCCTTTAATTTTGGGTCCAGGAACAGGAGGCAAAAGGATAACCATCCACCTTGAGGAATAAATGAAAAAAGAATAGTAAATTCCACAATGCATGGAAGAAATTAGAAAACAGTAAACACAATTCTTCACATCTGAGCCTGTGGTAGATTTTCAAAGTTAAGCAGCCAAAACCGTTTCAGCTTAGCATAAAAACCTAATAAATCTAAAATGCTTACTTTTCTTGCTGTGATATGATAATCAACATCAGGATTCCCACTAAACACAAGGCACCAAAGATGAGCAAAGCCACCACGGGGAATCTTGAAACTGAGGAAAACAATGGACACACACACCAAAAAAAAAAATCACATTAAACTTCACATAAAACAATGTGAAATAGTACTCAAATGTTAATTAATGACAAATATAAGATGATCTTTACAAAACCGTTTACACCCGGTTCAAACACTGAGTCAAACGGTGAGTTTACCTTTCGATGGGATGTGAATGAAGACAGATTTGCTGAATTCTCCAAACTCTTTCCCACTGAACATTTTGCACCGAACCCGGATCTCATGATTGATGTTAGTTTGAAGTCCGTAAAGGGAGCACTGTGTACTCAAAACAGGGTCAACCTGTGGTGAAAAAATAAGGTTTCAAAGTCTGACATTTAGGTTTCCTTTGACAACAATAAAAAGATTATTACCAAAATCAGCCAGTGTGCACGCTCCCCATAAAAACTGAACGTTTTGAAAATGCATCAGAGCTCGATGGGTAAAAACAACCCCCAAAACAAATCATGCTGGATATCTGTACTGATATGTACCGGGATAAGGTTCTAGGAATGAAAAGATGCCACATAATTTGATGGAAATGAAAATGATCAACCTACAAAGGGCCGAATTCAAAGACACATCAAAATCAAAGCAGGCAAGTCCATTTTGCCAAAATTCAACTGCAGCAACTCAAAATGATACCAGGTAGTTTGTATGGCCTCCATGTGGTTGTATGCATGACTGACACCATCATCATAACGAGATGATGGATGGAGTCCTGGGGGATCTTATCCCATATCTTGGAGTCACTGAGCTCAAAGGTGCAACCTGTCAGTGTCAGATTGACCAAAACATAACTATTGGATTTAGGTCAGGCGAATTTCGGGGCCAGTCAGTGGTATCAATGTCAGGCCCACAGGCTACCCTCGTGACATTTCTGATTGTTTGGTTAGAGACATTCACACCAGTAGCCTGTTGGAGTGCATTTTGTACCTCGGCAGTGCTCATCTTGTATTGATGGCCATTGCCAGAGGTTGGACTACTTGTGTATTGCCGCATGCTAACAATAGTGACACTGACCCTAGCCAAATGCAAAAAAACCACAATTGCAAGCAAAAAAAACAAAAACAAAAAAGATAGGAGGTAAAAATGTTAGTAGCCTCCACCAGTAAAACAATTCCTGTTATTGGGGTTGTCTCATTGTTGCCCCTCTAGTGCATCTGTTGTTAATTTTAATAACACCAAAGCACCTGAAACTCATTAACAACCCTTCTGCTATTTAACTGACCAGATAAATACCCCAGAAGTTTGAAATGCTACTTTAATTTTTTTGAGCTGTGTATTAGATTCATGACACACCAACCATTTCCCACACACTGGAGCTGTTGTCACGGTGCTGAACTTCATACTGCAGCTTCATCCACCCTGTCTCCACACCTGAAGATGGAGGAGGCTTCCAGCTCAACAGTATGTCATAGTAGATGCCAGTCAAACTCACATTCAGCAGCATCCAGTTCAGGCTGACAGGAGGATCCGGTTGCACTGCGGAACAGAAGGTCACTTTAGAGCACTTTTTCATCAGTAAGGGGGCTGGTGTCAGGAAGTCTTCCACTGGACTGAACTAATTAATTTGTTGAGTAATAACAGACTGATCCTTACATCACTGTCCTCGACTGTCTCTTTCACTGCCTACATGAAAGCAAGCAAAGACCAGGACATTGCAAATGATTGCTGAACTTGTTTTTACAAAGCAAATGGAATACATGCACTGCTGTAATCGCCTCTTCTTGGAATTTGGCTGCAAGTCATCCTGAAGCAAGATTCCAAAATCTGACATCAAGCCTTTAGTCACATTCGGCCCGAGAGAATTAGTGAAGTCAGCCACTGATGGCTTGGCTCGCCGTCAATGTTCAGATTTAATCATGTTGAAACAGGAAGAGTTTTTCCCAAACAGTTGGCACAAAGTTGTAAGCACATTGTTGTAGATATTTCTATGAAAAATAGGCTTAGATTAAACAATAAAAAAAAGGGGGGGGGATGTTATGAAACTATCAGTAGATGAAAGTCATGTGTGCTCTATGCTCTATAAAGATCCTAACTGAGTGTTTTCACAACAGTAAGTGAAAAACTTTGAGCTGCACGAGGCGTTAGAGGAAAAGCTGGAAGATATGTCTCTTCTCTATTTTTTTTAAATGTTCCATTTATTGGCCTTTGCAAACGTCAATACAGATAAGTCCTTCATAAATAAACCTTTAAAGCAGACACAAAGAGAGAAGAGGTGAGAGATATGCCGCCTGATGGGGTGACGACAATAAACCAAACCTTTCAGGCTGATGGGTGAAAAACTGCATCCCCAGTTTTTCTTTTTGAGGAATACTGGATGTGTAACAATTTAGGAGTGGAGGATAACGTAAAGTGACAGATTATCAGAAATGTAGCAAGGCCCTGACCATGTAAGCGAGTCTCATATACAAGCAAGAGCATTTTATAATCAATTCTGTAGGACACTAGAAACCACTGTAGCTCTGTTAAACCTGTTCTGCAGCTTCTATGAAGCCTGAACAATATGCAAATGCTAAGACTCATGGGAGATGTTATCCATAATTGCACAGGCAATCATAGGAGGGATGACCTGAACTTTGGCCATAACCCTTTATGTTAACCAAAAATTCCCTTTTTGAAGTTTTCTCTAGCGAATTATAAGAAAAAGATGAAACAGAAACAAAACTTTGTAACAAAGCTCAAAAGTATTGTTCACCCCTGAAAATGTCATATAACTACCTCGCGTACTTGTGATGCTGTGACAGTTAAAAGTGGTGACAGTGTAACATGCAAAACATTTACAACTGTATCTTTTTATTAGTCTTTTCTAACATAATAATTTCAGTGTGTGCAAAGAGGCAGTGAACTCACCAATGTCATTAACAAAGAAACCCTTCTCATCATAGAGGATGGTCTCATCCCTGGAGCGGAGCTGGACGTTGTAATATGTCCAGATCGAGGTGTGGTTCTGATCGAAAAAGCACTCGTTTGGTGTCTCGTTGCTGTAGTGAGGACATTCACTCCAATTTTTAGAAGACAGAGGAGGGGGTCTGAATGGTGGGGGACAGGATCAGTGCATTAGTCAGTTAAGAAATCCATGAGCAGTGCAAGGTCACAAAAAAAGGTTGTTCCCATGTATGCATGAAATGCGATTTCATGGTAATCTGCAGACCTACCCTGCTAATAAATGGCATTTTGTTATGAGGGGAATTATAGATAATAATGAAAAGAGGCAGTATGATTAACTAATCTTTTAAATATTCTGTTTGAGTTTTGAGGAATAAACAACTGTGTTATATGAACTCATCAAGTATGACATGTATGTAAAATTAAAGCAATTTATCTAGTTTTTCCTAGCTTCACAATCAAGCAACACAGCTGATAACACATAAAATACAGCCAAAGGATTCATGGGTCATGAAGGTAGTGCAGGTCGGCCACAAGAGGTCATTCATCATAAATAAAATAATAATAAAAAAAAATTGAACTAAAATTCTTACTCCTTATAAAATTTTCCAATTTTAAAGAGACAGAACTATATAATTTTGAAGGGTTGCATCTTTTAAACTTTTACAAATCTTCATAAAAATCTTTTGGAATAAACTTGTAGGTTTAGATGCACTTCTCTGACTGAACCAAATCTAATTCTTATTAGATTCTACAGGATAAAGTTCTTACATTTAGATGCAAATTCTCATGAAATATTTGTATTATAAAAAGACACTGGAATAGTGAAACGAAACAAAATCAGAAGATTTAAACAAACTGGGCTGTAGCAGACAGTTTAGAAATAGCTGGTGATAGTCTGGAGATGGATTGTAACTGGGATTTTCATTATTCCTATTTTATCTTTTTATTGCATTTGCTGACAATTAGAAAATTTACTTTCCCTGTGTGAAAATGTGTGTACATAAAAAGAGTATTTAAGGCAATAAAGCGAAATCTGCCCGAAGTTAGGCGTGTTAAACGTTACAATATAAGCTGGACTTTGCTTTGTCAACAGAGTGAATGTCTGCACCATAAGTTTGAATTTTACGCATTGGAGGTATAAACCCAGTGGCCCTGATTGACCTAAGCAGCTAAATAATGGTTTATCTACACATAAAGTGTTTCTACTGTGTTTTTGCTCACTTAACAGGCTAAAATTTCTATTCTTCTAACTTCTATTCTAATACTTTAAAATCATTTCAAAGGCTGCAAACAACTGGCGTTTTCCTCACACTACATACGTGGAGAAACTCTTTAAAGCTGTGCTTAAGAACCTGCAGATGTGCGAATGCCTGTACAAAACAGGCACCTATGACCCATGTTTTTCTTCTTTTTTCCCCTTCCTAATCTTTCCCAAAAAAGCACTCTGGTAGTGATGAGAGATCTTTTCTTCTTACACATTTATAAAGTAGAATAAGCGGAGAGCTCTGGGATCAGAGAGATTCTGGAAAGGGCCAACATTCCATCTGCAACGGAAAGTCATCATGTCTGGGGAAGCACAGCCAGTGAGGTGTGGACGTCTCTCAGAGAGAACTGAAGGAAACAGGGAGAGAGGAACAGAGGGGAAGATTGCACATAATTATCTTTAATACAGCAAATATCTACTTCTCTTTTCTTTTCCTTGTTGCAAGTGTTATAAAATCTTGGTGCTTTTGAGGATTGCAAAGATACACTTCAGTGACAAGCTAATAATGGTAATCTAACTCCACTGAGGAGCGCAGCCACAAGGCGAGTATCAGCAGTTTCCTGGAAGTCATTTTATTGCTCTTTAAGAGAAAGCAGCAGCTGGAGAGTTCAGTGCCACGACGCTCACGGAACAAGCTATTTGCTTTTGCCTTACCTAGAAACACAGTTACACAGAAAGAACCTCCGGGAATCTGTTTTACTGCCTGAATAAACTCGAAACACGTGTGCAGAGAGCACATTTCTGCAGTTTCCTTACGATACTCTGACCCAGATCCTGCCTGTGTGAACTGTGATCAATGCAAAGGTGAAAAATGTGAGCATAATGTGGTTTAACTGGTCTTTTCTGTACAGAATGAAGAAAAACATTTAATGCAGAAACCAAAGTTTAAGTGGTGCATAATATTCAGTGCATACAGTTAGTAATTTAGCACTGCTTCTTTTTCTCTTCAAGCACTGATGTGCATGCTCAACACGTTCACCCGTAAGGTCATTTTGTCCATTTATTCAATGCTTTCTGCAACACAGTAACATAACACCACTTTAAACATTTGTTTAAACAATACTGATGACGCCAAATATCTACTGCACTCTGCAAGATATGCATGGGACTTTTCTTGTGGTAGTCATAAAAACTGATTTGGACTTGGCTTGGCAATTTGATTGAATGTGGGTGGTTTCCAAAACTATGTGGAAAAGATTAGAAGGTTGTTTTTTTTAAACCTAAAGCACAAACGTGTTGTTTTTCAATTTACTGCAAATGCTGAACTCATATCAAAAAGCTGTGTAAATGTTCACATTCACAATTTATAGTTATGCAAACATTTAGACACATATATTTAGCATATATATTATATAGAACCTTTCTGGGGATTTCAAAGTACTTCCCAACAGCAAATAACAAATAAAAAGACAAATATTCAAACAGAAGAATGTGTGTGCTGGTTCTCAGTCATCCAGGTCATGGTAGTCTAAGGAAAGAAGGTTAGTGGACTTCTTTAAGTTTCCTGAAGTTTCACCTCTCATCCAAGAAGCTTCCTCAGTTCTAAGTCCAGTCACCTTCTTTCCAAGCTCCTTAGATCTACTATGATGAGCTCTGAAAGTGAACACCAAGGCCTTGAACTAACTTTCAGTGCAAAGATGACACAAAATAGGTGTCGCACGGGACACCAGAAACTTTCAGTATTATCTGCTGTATTTAGCTTTAACTAAAAATCCACTAAGTCTGTCTGAACCTTCACAATACGTTACTGTTTAAATGAATACATGCTTCCTTAGCTCTTTGTGAAGAATTTTTAAATCATTTTGCAGGCAGAATCTTATCTCTAAGAGTCTTGCACCCCTCTGTGATGAGTCAGGCCCCAGCTTTACGATGCTCCACTAACCTCAATCAGTTTCATCCAGTTTCGCTCCCTACTCTTAAGTGTATAATTGATCACCTAAAACACTCAAACGCTGTTCATGACATCCACCCATCTCGCATTATTAAAGATGGGTTTAACGTTATCGGGCCCTGTATTTTATCACTAATTAGCCTGTCATTGTTATCGGGCTGTTCTGGCTGCTTTTAAACATGCTGTAGTGCAAACTATACTCAAAAAGAGCTGCCTCGATCAGAAAGATCTCGCTGACTTTAGACCTATTTCCAAACTCCTGTTTCTGTCTAAAATCCTAGAGAAGATTGTTCATTCCCAACTTCAAACTTATCGGGGAAAGATTTCAGTTAATTTAAAAAAAAAAATTGTATTTAGCAAAGATCCGGCCCAAGGGTAACAAGTATAAAGAGAACAGCATAGAACCTAGCACAGACCCCTGGGGGACACCAGAGGTAACAGGGGCAATGGAGGAAGAGTAGGTACCCATCGTAACAGAAAAGGACCTTTTGGATAGATCAGATTTAAACTACCTAATGCATCTGATTAAATTCAATTTTTTAAATCTTGATTAAAAACTTATTTATTTAGCCTTGCCTTCCCTGCCTCCTGGACCCTGCATTTTTAAGTGTACTGTAACTTATCTTTTTTTGCTTTTATTAATGTTTTTATGATTTAACCTTCAGCCTTTCGGCTCGTGCCTACTATGCCTGCTGTATCATTGGTTAGTTATGTCTCCCACCTGTCAGTATATTTTATTTTTATTTATTTCATTTTATTATTTTATTTACTACTTATTATTGCTCTTAATTGGTTTCTGTGAAGCACTTTGGCATATATGTGGTTTTTAAATGGGCTATATAAATAAAATTGTATTGTATTGTTATCCAGAATCCTGCAGTGAAAGCACTAACAGAGACTAGGAAAGAGATCACATTTCTCCCATATCATCATTGGCTGCCTGCTAAATCCAGATTTGACATTAAAGTCCTCCTCACATACCAAGTTCTTAAGGATCAGACCTGATCGTATCTCAAAGACCTCATAGTATCATATTATGCCAATGGAGCAATTCTCTCTCAGACCGCTGGCTTGCTTGTGGTTCCTAGAGTTTCTAAAAGAGGAACGGGAGACGAAGTCTTCAGCTATCAGCTAAACTCCCAGTTTAGGTTCAGGAGGCAGGTACCCTCTCTACTTTTCAGATTGGGCTTTAAACTACAAATCTGGAGGACCTCCTGTGGTTTTGTGCTGGGCACCTCACCCCTATTCCCCTCTGTCCTTGTTTATCATCATATTTTCATAATGATGATAAACCATTAACCTTGTGTCTTTTCCCCCATGAAGTCCCACTTGCTTTGTTCTTGTTCTTTCCTGCAGATGTTTCGGTTTCCGGAGCTTTGTGTTCCCGGTGTGAGTTTAATGAAGCCTCTAACCGGCCAAATGTTTCCTTTGTGTGCTGTTTGTCATCTCTCTCTGCTAAACTTTGCACCTTCCCCTCGCTTTCCAACCAGTCGCACCAGATGGCTGCCCCTCCCTGAGACTCCACCAATGTGCAGCTCAGAGCAAGATTGGCAACGGTTTCGGTTTTCTCCAATATTATAGAGATTTTACCATAAAACAAAATGCTGTTAACTGGTGCTACAATTTTGGGAGCTCGTGGTTTACACTTTGTTCCTTTTTTTTTTTATGAAAGGTTTTCAGTTTTGTTCATATTGTTTGTGATTTGTTTATCATCTCCACAGGGACCGTAGTCCCTGCATTTTGTTTGGTTATTTTTAGGTTTGGATTCTCTGTGTGTCTAGTTTACTGTTTGTAGAGCAGTTTTAATTTAGTGCCTCGTGTTTAGAAGTTTTGACGTGTTTATTTTCTGAGCTTCCCTATTCAGTCTTTATGGTGTCTTGTTTTTCTACCTTTGTCGTTTGAGTCTTCAGGTGTTATCTTTATTTACTGATGTCTTTACGGAGTTTTTGTTTAGTTAGTTCCCTGTTTGTCTTCGCCTTTTAGTGTTTCCTCGCCCCGTCTTCTTGTGTAGACATGTTCAGTACGTTTTCTTGTCGCACTTGGTAAATGTTTGTATTCTTTTCTGTTTGCTTCCTTTAGAAACTGTGTGCACTTTTACTTCCTACCCTTGCCCTTTTCTGATCATTCTCAGCTGTTTTTTGTTAGCCCTTATGTGTCTCCGTATAAAGGCATCCAATCCTCCTTTTGTGGTTGTGTCATGTGGTCCTCCACCTGTTTACTTCCAAGCGTTCCTAGTTTAGTTTTGGATTCTATTTTCTCTTTGTTTTGGACTCTTGCTGTTAGAGATCTGCATGCATGAAGGTATAAATAAAACAGCCCGCCTCTCCGCTTTTGGGTTCATCTTTTCTAATAATATTTGATATCAAATCAGGGATGTGGGAATTAAAAAAAAAAACCCCAAAACAAGGTAATTAGTTTTGCCAAATAAAAAGGCACTTTTTAATCCACATATGCACAAAACTTATAATTAAGGATGTTGGCGCTTCAGCTGATTTTTCCTGACTTTCACAAAACAAATCAGCAGTGCTGATGGGAAGAGTGATTTTTTGGGCTTTTTTCCCTCCAAGTGAAAACCAAATAACAGCCGGTATTATCTCATCTTAAAAACAGTTAAATTTTGTGTGTCCATCATGTCCTTTTACACTATAAGTTGGTTTTTTATTATTTTCATGAATTTTATTTTATTGTACACTGGTCAAAAAATCCAAAGGAACACTGGATATCTACACTGATATGGACTGGGCAGTGTGTTCGATTTGAAAGGACGCTACATTGTTTGATAGAAATGAAAATAATATGCAGCAGGTTAATCCATTTTGCTGAAATTTCATTGCAAATGAAAATTGTATTCTGTAGTCTGTATGGACCCCGTGTCCTTTATGCATGTAGAGACATTCACAACAGCAGACTGCTGAAGGTCATTTTGTAGCTCTGGCAGTGCTTATCCTGTTCCTCCATCCACAAAGGAGCAGATACCATCCTGCTGATGGGTTAAGAACCTTCTACAGCCTTGTCCAGCTCCTAGAATTAACCGTCCGTCTCCTGGAATCTTGAGTCTGTGCTGGGAGACACAGCAAAGTACATCTTGTATGTTGGGGCTATCTATTCTGTGTACTTTGTTGACTTGGGTGGTTAAAAGTGACTTGCTTTGGCTAATTAGGGTATGTATGGACAGCAGTCTGCATGGGAGAATGGAGATATGTTTGTGAAATGTCAAGTAGGTGTCCTTTTAAATAGAAAACTGAGAGCTTTTTTTTTTTTTTTT